CCCCGGGGCGGAGGGGCCGGGGGGGGGGGGGCCTCCCGGCCCCCGCCGAGCCCCCCACCTATGTGCAGATCCGCTCGCCCACCACCCGGGAGAAGATCTGCTTGAAGGCGGTGGTGGAGCGCTGCAAAGCTTACCAAGCCTCCGAGGAGTACCGGCGACGCTGCCCTGAGCCCCCCGACACACCCGAGCCCCCTCGCCACGGCCTCGTCAGGAACCTGCGGCAGAAATTTCAGACCCTTGATACTGCCAGCTAGGTGGATGACAGGGAGAAGGGGCGTCCCACCTTCCCCAGGGGAAGGGCTTGAAGGCGGTGGTGGAGCGCTGCAAAGCTTACCAAGCCTCCGAGGAGTACCGGCGACGCTGCCCTGAGCCCCCCGACACACCCGAGCCCCCTCGCCACGGCCTCGTCAGGAACCTGCGGCAGAAATTTCAGACCCTTGATACTGCCAGCTAGGTGGATGACAGGGAGAAGGGGCGTCCCACCTTCCCCAGGGGAAGGAGCACCCCGTGGACCCCAACCTGCCCAGGAGAAGGGACACTGCATGGACCTCCAACCTACCTGGAAGAAGGGGCACCCCATGGACCCCCAACTTGCCCAGGAGAAGGGACACCCCGTGGACCCGCAGCTCACCAGAGAAAAGGAGCACCCTGTGGACCTCCAGCCTACCTGGGAGAAGGGGCACCCCATGGAAGCCCAGCCTGCCCAGGAGAGGGGGCATCCCACAGACCCCCAGGTTGCCTGGGAGCAGGGGCACCCCGTGGACCCCCAGCTCACCCAGGGGAAGGAGCACCCTGCAGACCTTCAACTTACCTAGAAGAAGGGGCACCCCACGGACCCCCAGGTTGCTTAGGAGAAGGGGCACGCTGGGGACCCCCAACCTGTCCAGGTGAAGGGGCACCCATGGCCCCCAGCTCACCCAGGAGAAGGAGCACCCTGCGGACCTTCAACTTACCTGGAAGAAGGAGCACCCCACGGACCCCCAGGTTGCTTGGGAGAAGGGGCACGCTGGGGACCCTCAACCTGCCCAGCACTCTGCGGCCCCCCAGCCCGCAGGGGCACCCCGCACCCCCCCGGCGCCCAGCACTGCGCCCGGCTCGCTTTCACATCTTTATTAGAAAAAAAAAACCCAAACTGAACCAAAAGTTCCTCTCTGGTCGCCCGCGCATTCCCCCCGGGGCGGCTCGGCTTGGCCAGGGGGTGCAAGGGGTCC